GTTTGGAGAAGAAGATGAAGATTAATGTGAGAAAAAGTTACAGAAACTTTAGAGAGAATGTGAGAGAGAAGAGTGAAAATTGAGAGAGAAATATGAAAATGGTTGAAGGTCCCTTGCAAAAATGCCAAGGTTTCTTTATATAGAGTGGAGGTTTGGAGTTTGCTTTAGAACTAGCTTTAGAGTTAGGTACATCTAACTCACTAAGTCGGAAATTGATACTGGAACCAACCACTTGTTTGACCAAGATTAGGTCAAACTTTCACTGAATCTCAAACCACACTGCACAGACCCTCGACCTGATAACCTTGCCTGATCCTTGATTCAATCTTGTACGACCTGAGCCTTGAGTAATTTCTGAAGAAACTAAAATATACTTGATTATTGAAGAGAGGAGATCTCTTAAGAGTATGAGAAACTACTTGCCTGAAGTCTCTTGGAGAAAACCCTAATTCCATAGGTGACACAAAATGAAATAAATACTGATAACCTGGTTAGATATACAAGAATGATTAACCTAGAATATTCATGCAAAAGATCAAAGAATCTAAAATTTGGGGTATGACATCGGCGATGCGAATGCACATGCTTATGCATAAAGGAAAAAGGTGAGGTCAAATGTCAGGTTACGACAAATAGCAGACATGTATATGCCCTTACTAAACAAGGACATCATAACCTTACTAGTGTAGAAGGTCCTGATATAATGAACGTCTCATTGACTCATACTAGTAGCTGTCATTGATAATTATGTTTTTCTTGGGAATGAAAATGAAAAAAATAAGGTTATTATTGTTATCACTATAGTAAGTCGAGTCATAAGTACTAGAACTATGATCATAGCTCCCAAACATTCATAACTCTAAAAGATTCCAATCAACCCTCCTGTTATGATTCCTTGAATTTTCCAATCAATTTCTCCACAAATCAAAAATACCCTCTTGTATGATGTGTTATACTACAAAATTGTTTTCACTTGACTACCAAGAATTTCCATTTATAACCCATGAAAAATATAAGGAAAAAGATGCCGGAAATGTTCAAAGGTCCCGATCCGTCAAAATTTTCACTAGAAAATGGCGTGGGTAGAGATCAGGTGCAAAAGGGAAAGATCAAACAACGATCATGTGATCTTGCCCAATCCATACCTACATTCCCCGGTCATGGATCACTCGATTTGACATAACATGTCTTAAATTTAGGATTAGAGAAAAACATATTTAGCCACATATTAGGAATATAATTGAAATTACCACTAATCTTATAGGATAACTATGTCTCCTATTAATGGGAATATTGGTTCCTCATATTCCCACGATTTGGCCAAGCATATAAGTATTTTAACCGATTTTCTTGGCAACGAGTGGGCCAAAGGGTCAATTCCATGCGCTTGAAAAACGACCATTCACATTTTATAGACAAGAACACAAAAAGGCTTTTTCTGTACTCTCTATTATAATTACCATAAGTAAAAAAGAAAAATTACAAACCCATTGGTAAGGTTGATCTCTTTAGAGCAATGTTGGAGGAAAAACATACAAGAAAAAACCATGTATTGATTACTTTGAGGTATTTGCTCATGTTGCAAGGTTGAATACAATTCAATTTTTTTATTTCGATCTCACCTCAAAATAATTGAAAAACAAACTAAATGGATGTTAAGTCTACATTTTTTTAATGCTACCTAGAAGAATGAGTGTATATTGAGCAGCCTGTAGGATATTTAGTCAAAGAAAACGAAGATAAAGTCTATAGTTTGAAGAAAGTATTTTATGGCATGAAGCAGGCACTAAGAGCTTAATACAAGAAGATTGATTCTTATTTTGGAAAAAATGGTTTTCCAGACATGTACGTTTGAGCACAAGTTTCATATTAAATTTGAAAAGTGTATAGATGTTCTTATTGTTTTCTTGTATGTTGATGATCAGATTTTTGCAGACATTAATGCAAGGATGACTACAGAATTTAAGAAGATTATCATAAGTTGTTTTTAAATGACAAAATTGGGCCTAATGCCATATTTCCTTGGCATTATGGCCGTTCAACAAAATGATGGAATTTTTATTTTTTAAAAGAAGAATGTAGGTGATATTTAGAAGAATTTCAAGAAGGAGCTTTCAAAGCCAACTTACATGTTTGTTGAATAAAATTTGAAATTGACAAGAGAAAATTATGGTAAGCAGGTAGACTCAACTCAATATAAAAGTTTGATTAGAAATTTGAGATATTTGATTACGAAAAGATCAAATAGTATATGGAGTTTGTATGCTTATAAGGTTCATGGAAGAAATGTGTATTAGATATTTACAATGAGCTATAAGGAATCAATGTTATATCAAAGATACACTGACTAAGGAAATATTTTATGCTAGTAATAATGATGTGGAGCTGGTTGTATACACATATAACGATTGGAATGGAGATATAAAAACAAAATCAAAAAACACGTCATGATACATGTTTCATTTAGGTACATGTGAAATTTCGTGGTCTTCAAAAAACAAGAAATTTTCACGCTTTCTACTGTTGAAGAAAAGTCTATAGCAGGAACCAGTTATTTTATTCAAACAATATGCACCAAAAGTAAAATATCCATACAAAAATATATTATGATAGCAAGTCCGCTATTGTACTAAGCAAACATTTAATTTTTTATGGATAGTCCAAACATATTGATACTGAATTTCACAAGATACGAGAACTAGTTGTTGAAAAAGAAATGGTGACGTAGAGTATTTTTCCTTTGAAGAACAAATTACAAACATATTTACCAAGCCTTTGAAGATTGATCTATTCTACAAGTTAAAAAAATGTTTGGAATGATATATTTGAGAGCTTGAATGATTAAGAAACTAACCAAGATATATTGACCATCATCATATCCTTTCACATTCTTATCCACTAGCGTTCAGACGGGCACGTGCCCACTTTTTTAATGCACACGTGTAAAGTTTTAAATGATATTTTTTATTTAATATTAATTTTAAATAGAAGTTAAGTATGAAGTTATTAGTAGAAAGTTAGGTAGGAAGTAAATGGAAGTTATTGAGTAAGTTATACATTAAAGTAAGGGTAAAATTAGAAGAGAACTAGGTTGCACCAAAATTCCATGTTTTGCCTTTATATCTGTTATAGATTATAAATGAAGTAACCTTTATTATCTTATGCATTAAAAAATATATAACTTAACTTACAAGAAATTTACTTAGGTGCCATTTAGAAACTTAGCCTATAAAAGGTCATTCGTAATCTATAAGCCAAATCAATTCAAGTGAATAAAATAAAGTATTAAAGAAACTTGTTTAAGAATTTCCTCTCTTATGAGTCCAATTTAAGTTATATATGTAATTAGAATTAAATATAAGCAAATTCTTATGATAAGTAGTTAGGTACCAGTATCCTTAGTATAAAATGATTTAAAATATTAATTTACTTTTAAATAAAAAATATATAAAAGATGACATTACATTGAATGAAATTATTTCATTGGATGAAGGTACTAGTACCCAACTAAATCTAAGGGCATGGGAGGGTTCACCTTAAATATATGATACTCCAACAATGTTAGTGAAATTTGGTTTATTTTCTATAAAAAAAAATTTAAAACCCCCCTCTTAAAATGTCAAAATTTTATATCTTTTCCTCCATAAACGTCAAAATTATCCCTGTAACAATTTTTTTGGTTTATCCCAAATTTCAATGTTAAAATTGTATGCTTAGGGGGAGGGGGGAAAAATAAAAATAAAATTACAGGGGAAATCCAAAAAATAAAATTACTAGAATAAAGTGAAACTCGCCTACAATCTAAAAAATGTTGTATATTTAACTCATATAATTAACATCGCCAAATGCTAAAAAGTGACTTATGAATTCTGTTTAAATTATATATCTAATTAACATCACTAAATGGTGAAAAGCAACTATTATTAATTTTAACTCAAATATTGTATTTGTAGAGGAATTTTGGAAGGATTCGATAAATTCTCAATTTATATTTTATGTTGAAAATAATTTAATTATTATTTTACACAAAATTATTTTTTTAAATGATATTTAAAAAAATTTTGTATTTATTTTAATTTACTTTTCTCAAAGCCTTCCCTTTCCATCACCTCCTACTTAATTTGCAAACAGGAATTAAGAAAAGAATTAATGTGAAACAAAAAAAAAGTTTAATAATAGAATAAGTTACTATAATTCTATTATAATTGGTTTAAATTCTTAGGGTGTATTTGAGAGTTTAAATAGCGAGAGAGAGATTGACGGGGAAAAATGTAATTGAAGTGTAAGTAATAAAAAGTTTTGAATCTTATAAAAAAAAGTATTGAAAAATGAAACAAAAAATTAATGGAAGTGTAAGTAACAAAAAGTTTTGAATCTTACCAACAAAATATTTTTGAAAAAAATGAAAAATTGATTCCAACGGTATATAATCCAACCTTGTCAAAGAACTTTAGATCCATCGTCTTTAATATTTTGGTCATGGAGAAATAAGTAACAGAAATAATTAGTCCCCAAGTCTCGTAAGTTATTTATGAGTTGCGATATAGTCCCTTAATAAAAAACAATTTGATTTGGTCCCGTAATATTACTTCCGTTAACATGTTTGATCCATTCCGTTCATTAATGTATTAGACCGTTAGTTACTGTCGTGGTGGCGTTTCAACTGTATGCCTAGTCATCAAATAAATAATTAATTTAGTTTTTAAAGGGTGAAAAAATGATTGTGGATTCCTGCATCTTCTCATCTTCATCTCGATTTTTCATTTTGTCTCCTTCTTATAGCTTCCCTCATCGTGTTTTAGTCATCTTGTTATCTTCAGTTTTCTTCATCTCATTTTTTTTTCATTTTGTCTCCATTCCTAGGGTTTATCTTTCTTCTTCGTCTCCAAAGTCTAAAATGTCAAGCATTTCTTCAATTGGTATATTTGGGTGGTTGTTCGAAGAAACAAAAGGAGGGAGTGGTTTTTCCAAGATGAATGTGTGCTTTGTACCGTGGTGATATGAGTAGTGTCAATTTTGGGGGAAAATTTTGGGGTTGCGGAAATTTCAGAAATCATGTGAATATGGGATGTAATTTCTTCAAATGGTTCGACGACGACATTATCGATGAAAGGGAATTGAAGATTCAGAGGCAGAAGAAGAAAATTTACAAGTTGAAGAATGAGATCATCAACACAAGGGGATGGTTGAAATTCTCTATAATCATTGGAATATTGAGCTTACTGTTTAATGTTATATTTGTAACAATAGTTTTTTAGGTTGGTTGTTTTTGTGTAATGACATGTAGTTATAAACAAGGAGGTTGAATTGTATCTGTGAAATGTTTTGTCAACATTGTTATGTATTTGTCAAAATATATCAATGAAATATAGTTGCTTTTGTTTGAGAAATGTTACTTTTGTTTCTATCAAAATTTATCAATGAATTGTATTTGTGAAATGTTAATTTTGTTTGTTTCTCACAATTAAAAGAACAAATGCAAAGTATAAAATGGTCATAACAATAGTCACAAAACCATAACATTAGTTGCAATATTAACATTACAAGTCATTACAAAAATGGCATTGCAAACCATAACATTATAGAAGTTGAAATCCAACAAAAGTGGCATTATAAGCCTTAGTCTTAAACTACATAATAGGAAAAAAGTGGAATAACTAGTACACATCAAAGATAAACATAAGTTTATGGTTGGCTCAGGACAAGTTTTAGACCCTTTTAAAGTCTCTTTCTTTTTTTGGATACTTACTGAGTCGAACCTCCATCTGGTATTGGGTGGATTGATGTAGCAGCAACTGGTGTTGGTGGTAGGCTTAATGCATCATCAATTGGTGTTGGTGGTTGGACTGATGTAGTAGCAGCAGTTGGTGGTCTTGTTGATGTAGCAATAGCAGTTGGTGGTCTTGTTGATGTAGCAACAATAGTTGGTGGTGGTAGTGTTGTAGCAGTAGAAGTTGGTGGTGGTGTTGTTGTAGCAGCAGCAGTTAGTGGTGGTGTTGATGTAGCAGTAGCATTTGGTGTTGGTGTTGGTGTAGCAGTAGCAGTTGGTGGTGGTGTTGTTATAGCAGTAGCATTTAGTGTTGTTGTTGTTGTTGTTGTAGGAAGCTTGCAAGTGGACTTGTTGAGACCATCTTTATGGCACTTGTAGCACTTGATACCAAATTTAGCCCTTTTGAGTTGTGTGTCATTTCTAACTTGTTCCCCAACATCTTTGTTCCTTTTCTTCTTGGGTCTACCAGGCTGTCTTTTTTTGGGGGGTGGTTGCATGTCAACAACATCTGTTTTGGTCCAAAGTGATTCTCCATTGACTTGATAAATCACTAGTGCATAGGAAGCTTCATAACACTCCTTTTTTTAATAATCAGGAATAAAATCATCTACCTGTAAATGTTGATCCTTCATACATGCAAGGGCATGACAACATGGTAGCCCAATCAAGATCCACCTTCTACATGCACACTCATGCTTTGACAGATTAACAATAAACATTTCTTCAAAGAATGATATATGCCTAACCTCATAGTCTACTTTCCCATAGGACCTTTGTCTCGCATTCATTTCATTGCATATCATATGCATCTCGTGGCATCTTAGGGCCAAAAAATTCGTGCAATGTTAGTATTTAAGTCCCTCCTATCACGTCGAGACAAAGATTTCAATCTCCATATCTCCAGATAGAAGAAACTTAAATAGGGGCATCTGTCACACCCTAAATTTGACCCTAAGATCCCGTCTCTTTGTGCATCGTCTTACATAATATATGTACGACATAAGTTTTGTGTGCGTATTTTTCATGACTAACAGATGTGTGCAGGTACGTTGATTTCAAGTAGACGATATTAATTCTCATAGTCGAGCATTCCCAGATATAACCATTCTAATTCAAGAATCTTAAGAGGTGTGGTTTGAACAATAGCTTTGAAAGTCCATCATCTAAGTCACGAGGTTTATTATGATTCAAATTAATTTACTAGCATCAAAGAGACGAAGTTTTAGCCAAATTCTGGTAACAAGGCTCCAAGTTTGAGAACACCCATAACCTAAGAGGACTTGTTCAGAGTAACTAAACTAGACAAATAATTTATGGAGCGAAGCTTCACACCCAAAAGTTCATGCTTGTGTATACACAAATTCCCCAATCTAAGATCTCGTAAGTTTGGATTGATGAATACTTCACGCGTCAAAATCGAATCTAAGTCATCATCATAAGACTTAAGTTGTAAACTCATAGATGGTTCCTAAAAAGGGGGTTCAATTACAAGTAATTTCAAAGTTATACCAAAGTTTCAAAGGTCCACTTATAGGATTTATCTTTGAGTTCAAGTTCATAAGATTTACTAGTGATATAGGTAAGAATATTCAAGTTATCATAAGCTTCACATCCCAAACCTCGATGATTTACACCTTCACAAATCCAAGTTGAAATTCAAAGTGTTCAAGATCCCCTCACAATTCGATCTCATTGAAAATATAACACAAATCATTTTTGCAAGTGGTAAGCTTTGGGAAAATTACAAGAGACCATTTCCATTGATTTAAAATTCAAAATCACAATTTAAAAAGAACGGATTTAACTGCACTCAAAAACTCCATAACAATTAGATTATTACATCGTTCAAAGTTTCACTACAAGAAAGATACTCCTAATTCTAAGTTCTCCATGCTAAGCCATCGAATATAAACTCTCCAAGGTACATGAAACCATGCATATCATTCACACGCTGGCTCCAAACTAAGACATACATCAAACCTGTATGGAACAACCCAAGTGAATTATTCATATCAGTCCATAATTCATAGAGATAAACTACACCATGGCCAATTTAAGCACAGGATCCAAACTTACCATGACCAGGAATGAACTTCTATGCATGTTCCTGCTGCAAAAGTGAGCACCAGTCTAAGATCTCAAATGAACAAGTCGCTTCATACCAGCCTCCCATCGATTATGGTCGTGAGAGTAATAACAAGTAGGTGTTGTTACGAAAATTACAATCAAGACAAGTCTACCAACTCTTGCACGTCTGAACTTGCTTTTCCCTCCCACTCTTCTAGTGTTTTATTTGAAATAGACAAGGTTAGCTTGGACTCATCAAGACTGGTCCTGCAAATCAAAAGACAAGGCATTGGGGATGCCAAGAATTGAGACATTATATTGAACCACAGTATTAACGTGATTCCCGTCCATGCACAAAATTGCATCGACCTCTAATTACCACAAAATGAAGTGGAATCTTGAGCAACTAAGTTTTAGTTATTTGATTCACTAATAGCCCACTAAATCAAGGCAAGACTTTGATAACATGAAATTATATCATATATTTGACTTGACTTACATGAATTTTATCTGCGATTATTGCTATTTTATCCGATTTAAGTTCTATTACGCATTTATTTTCTTGTGTTTTATAGGTTATCAAAAATATATATTAAAGAAATAAAATAAGAAAGAAATGAAAGAAAAGAGAAATCAAAGAGGAAGAAAATAGGAAGGAAAGAAAAGAAGAAGAAAGAATAGAAAAGAAAAGAAAAAAAAAGGGTGGGGGCTACCACACACTAGTGGCACATGCCACATGTGTGTGGCGCCTGCCACCAAGGAAAGGCAAGGAAGTGTGGCGCCTGCCACCTTCCAAAGAGAGGGGGGAGTGGCGAGTGCGACTCCTAGATAGAAGGGAGAGTGGCGACTACCGCTCCTAAAAGAAAGCGAAGTGGCGTGTGCCACTTCCTCCCTACATTATCTCCATTCCTCCCTACATTTTCTCTGGCCTTCTCTCTAAGCAAAAATAGAAATTATAGAAAACCTTCAACCTCCTAAAACCGTAAGAGAAATTCAAAGTGTCTTAGGATACGCCGGTTTCTACTGACGATTCGTTAAGGATTTCTCTAAAATGACTAAACCATTGACTGGCTTATAATGAAAGACATTGATTTCATTTTCAATGACAAATGCCATAAAGCCTTTGAACAATTAAAAACAGATATCATTACTACATCCATCATGCAACCACCTGATTGGAGGTTACCATTGGAAATCATGTGTGACGCTAGTGATTATGCCATAGAAGCAGTTCTATGACAAAGAAAGGATAAAATGCTTCATGCGATTTATTACAACAGTAGAACCCTGGACCCTGCACAAATGAACTACTCCACCACAGAAAAGGAACTTCTAGCTGTCGTGTTCGCTTTGGATAAATTCCGTTCTTACTTAAAGGAGAAAAGATAATTGTCTATACCGACCATGCCGCAATCTGGTACCTATTGAGTAAAAAGGACGCCAAGCCAAGACTCATAAGATGGATACTACTACTGGAAAAATTTTATTTAGAAATCCAAGACATGAAAGGTAATGAAAATGTAGTAGCTGATAATTTATCGAGAATGGAGGATATTAAGCATGAACAAGTTCCTATCAATGATGATTTTCCTTATGAGAGACTCATAGCTCTGTTAGAAAACACGGTTGAACGATATTTAATATACAATGAGACTGAAACAAAAGAAGTCGTGGAAGCGATCTTTACTGAAGCCACACTACCTTGGTATGCTGACTTTGTCAAGAACTTACCATCTGGAGTTCTTCCACCAGATTTAACTTACCAACAAAAGAAAAAATTATTCCATGATCTTAAACATTATTATTGGGATGAACCTCTGCTTTTCAAAATAGGTGCCGATGGTATCTTCCGTCGATGTGTTCCCGAAGACGAAGTTGAAAATATAATCTCTCACTATCATTCTGCTTCCTATGGAGGACATGCAAGCACTTCAAAGACTTGCGCTAAGATCTTACAGTACGGTCTCATTTGGCCCACTCTATAGAAAGATGTCTATATCGCGATCATAAACTGTGACCGGTGCCAACGCACCGACAATATCTCTATACGCGAAAAAATGCCAATGAAAGGCATTATGGAAGTAGAAGTGTTTGACGTGTGGGGAATTTATTTCATAGGACCATTCCCATCATCTTTTGGTAACAAGTACATACTAGTTGTTGTTGACTATTGTCGCGGTGAAATTTGGATAACAAACTATTGATTAGTTTGAATCTTAATTCATTACAACTGAACTTTGATTTGTCCAAAGAAAGGGATAAAGATCGAAATACCCACAATGCAATGCAAATGCAAGGTTAGAGAGTTTTAGGTTCGGGGGTCGGTTAAACTTAGGGAAGGTGCTAGCATCCTAAGTTTCTGTAGTACTCTACAGGAACCTCTTGTTTTAATGTGTGTTTATTGCTAAGGTTTATCTGCTT